CGGATGTCCAGGGGGAAAAGAAATCTTTAGCAATTTCACCTGCCATTGAACCTGGTGGGTTTTGACTACATGTGACTTTGGCTTTAGGCGCTATCTCTGGAATGTAAACCTAGCATAAGTTTGAGAGTTGCAAGTTGTACTGTACTCAGATAGTACTCAGCCATCATGTCTAGTAACTACTGATAGCCTTATTTGCCATAAATTGGTTTAATTTCCTTAAAATAGTCTTAAGTTTGTGGCCATTACTACAAAATGAAGCATCTCAGGGATAGAGAAGGACAGAGGCAGACTGGGGTCTGGATGCTGAGCCACCTGGCCAGTTGATGCTTGATGGCATTGGGCCAAGGCCAGCCTCATCACCGTGCCACCTCCAGACTGGTGCCTGCTCCCCACCTTCTGCCCTGCCCATCATTAGTGGCAGGTCTGCAGATTCAAGAGTGGCTATACCATTCTGTCACCCACCACTGCTTACTTGTGGTTAGGATTTTGCCTTCACCTTCTTTCTAAACTATAAATGTCAAGAGTTGTAACTTTTCCTCATAGGGTAGTTCCTCCAGCCCCTTCAAGACCTTCTGCCGCTGAAGCCACCCTGGTTACTCTTCAGCAATTCTGGTTCTTCTTGGCAGTCCTCACAGAATTCTAGCCCAATGGTTGCCATTAATTTGATTTGAACTGATTTTATAATGAAATGATTTTAGAATGTTGTATCATTTTACTGTTGTTAGCCGCTCTGAGCCTGGCTTCGGCTGGGGAGGGCGGGATATAAATAAAATTTTATTTTTATTTTTTATTATTCTTCCGCGAGACTCCTATTTCTATATCCTTTCTAATTTTACATTTGATAGTGCCTTCTACCAGTTTTCCTAAAATAGTTTGCTGAGCTCATTGTCCTGCTTTCAATGTATGATACATTCATAAAATAGATTTTATTATAAAATGAAACACACACTGGTTAATTAGAGTTTTTCCCCTCCCCCCATATACCCAGTTGTTGAATTTGTACTGTCCTCCTTACATTTCCAGGACATAATTACTGTACAAATAAAGGGAACACGTTACAAATTAACTCATTCAAACTCAGTGCCTCCTTTAGCCATTTTCATGGGACAGGAGATGATTACTAGGAGTTTGTTTTTACTATGATTCTATATGATGATGGAGGCTGGGAATGTCAACCACATTGTTGTTTTGTTCTTTAACTTCCTTCCTCTTTTTCTAGGTGGAAGTCATGTCAAGTGCCATCTTCCCAGCTCCTTTCCCTCTCTTTTTCAGTTGCTATGGTGCAATGAGAGGTAAGCTAAGCTTTAAAATATTTCTAAAAGAAGAATCAAGTTATGGACCTGGTGGACATGTAACATTCTGGATTATGTTGCCATGGTTAAGCAATCAGGAGCTGGCCTTGCATGCTGACTCCTCTTCTTTTGGAGCCTAAATGGTCCCCACTCTCTCTAAAAAGGGCATTTGGCACTGTCATTAAACATAATTAAGGCCAACCAAGGTTCCTCCTTAAGAAGGTACTAGAATTTGATGCTAATTTGTATCCAGGGCTTTTTTCCAGGGGGTACTCAAGAGTATGAAATACTGGCACCTCTCTTTTTTTGTGAGTACTGGCACCTATTTTTCTAAACAAAAGCACTGTTTGTGTCTATGTAGAATTAACCATGGCTAAAGTTTTATGTTGGTGTAATGGTTAACACAATTAAGGAGCAGGGTGGTGGTGGAATTAATGCTACGGAAGGGAGGTTTGGAAGTATGTAATTTCATGGCTTTCTCCGACTTGCTTAACCATGGTTAGGTTATGTGAACCAGCCCGGTACTCTGCTGTATGCAACACTGCTTGAGATTTTTTAGCTATGTTAAGCAACAGTATAGAGATGTTCTTCAAGTGAGCAATTGTAAGAGTATTCTCAGTAATTGAACCGAGGAGTACAATTGTAAGTGACATGAAATTCTGCTATCTGTTGCATGAGGGAAGGAGGATTTGCCTAGGAACAATTCATTGGCTATGATAGTGGTGCGCATTAAGCATTTCTTAATACTGAGCTGTGCCTGGCTTAATGTCAAAGGTGAGAAGAAGCACAAGGGCTCAAATTTCCCTCGAAGTCATTTTGTCTAAGAATCAAGGTACACACTCAAGTAATTGTGTGAAAATAATGAACATGCTTATTTCCCCCCCCCCCAAATCATAACTGGATTATGCTGGTGGGGGAGGACACCTAAGTAGGATCGGGATGAATATCATTTCCCTAATACTATCAGTCATGGGAGGAAAGGTCCTATATGTGTGCAGTTTGACCTTAAGAAGCCCTTTCCTAACATGTTGGAGCTTGGTTCGAATATGCAGGAGTGGTGGAAAATATAAACTGATGTACTCGGCCACTGTTGCAGTGGTAGGGAATCTGTGGCTATTTGGCTCTTGTTGGAGTTTGCCCACAAAAGTTTCAACAAGCATGGCTAGTAGTTCAGGATGACCCCCTATTTATTTGCTACTGTTTTAAAATTCAGATAAGTCCTGGTTTTGTCCACAGTTATGCTTGAGAGTGAGTCTTTTGGAGATGGAAGGACCATATAATTTTTATTTGATTGGCTGCATTCTCAGATCCACATTGCACTGCCCTAATTCTTTTTCTTGTGGCGTACAAAGATACGCAGACCGCCAGATGTATCCCTTTCTCTCTCACCTTGTCTCATCTTGTGTGTTTTCCTTCCACCAGCTTCTTGACAAGCTTACATGGAAAGATCTGTATTTGGTCTCTTGCAATATAGCACAGGGAACCCGAGTTTTCCCTCTCAGAGATAGGATTCCTAAGTGTGAATTCATACATTACATTATTCACACGATCACTTTGATAACTCGAATGTGTGGAAGTGCTGTCAACAGTGTGTCAGGTGAGAAGTCATTAGTCACAATTACCTCTTATCACTCCCAGGCCTTTATCTGTTCTGCATGTCAGGCATCATGCAACATGTGATGACAGTCGCAAACTGAACTTTTGAACTCGCTTCCAGTTTGCCGTTGTGGCGTGTCCAGCATCCCCAAAGCACTTAGCCTTCCTGCTGCATCTGTCGTTGTGTCCTAAAAATTACTGTAACAACTAGCTGAAGAAGTTTATCTCATGTCTATTAGGTCCCTCCCTCAAAGTGTGACTTGGAAAATGCAAAAGAGTGCCTTTGACCACAAACTTTTCAGCTTATTCAATAAGCCTATGATTATTTAGTCAAAACAAAACAGTAGATTTTTGAAGTGGGTAAAATGGCTGAGAAACTGCCCTTGTTGATTTTGTAGATGTTGATTTCTTAGTATAAAAAAGTTGGCTTCAGTTCTAAACTATTTAAATGTTGTGAACCCTTTATTTATTTATTTATTTATTTTTAAAATCATCTTATTTGGAAATGGCAGTCAGGCAACCTTTTGGAATTTCCAGCTCTCCCCAAACTGATAAATTGTGTGACCTGGGGAAATTTTAAGATTAGATTAGAGGTACATTTATTGGAGGGGACGCGGGTGGTGCTGTGGGTAAAACCTCAGCGCCTAGGACTTGCCGATCGCATGGTCGGCGGTTCGAATCCCCGCGGCGGGGTGAGCTCCCGTCGTTCGGTCCCAGCTCCTGCCCACCTAGCAGTTCGAAAGCTCCCTTAAGTGCAAGTAGATAAATAGGTACTGCTTTATAGCGGGAAGGTAAACGGCATTTCCGTGTGCTGCTCTGGTGCCGGTTCGTCAGAGCAGCTTCATCACGCTGGCCACGTGACCCGGAAGTGTCTGTGGACAGCGCTGGCTCCCGACCTCTAGAGTGAGATGAGCGCAGAACCCTAGAATCTGTCAAGACTGGCCCGTACGGGCAGGGGTACCTTTACCTTTACCTTTACATTTATTGGAGAAAATGTAACTGACCTCACACACGATCAATTACAATTAAGATAATTCCGCTGGGTATATTTATAAATGTACATAAATGTACCATTGTGAGTATATCAGGCTGGATTATATTAACTGTCACTTAGAACCAAATTCTGAGGAATCCTGAGTGGCAGGAATTCTTTATATAGACTGTGTCCTTTCTCTAGCCAACAGGTGTAGAAATAAGGACACTTTTAAAAAAAGCTAAAATTATATACCAACTGAAATCCACAGAAACACGTAATCAAGGAGCTGGGAGCATGGTTGGAGAAATGTGCCTTAGCACCGTTGCATGTACCTTAACACCACATCAGCTACCTGACTAATTCAGAAATAGACATTTTGTCCAGTGAAAAGTTAACATCAAGTGCAGGAACACATAATTCAGTTAATATGCTCTTCAATGTTTATGTGGGGTTGACAGAGGGAGAGTGTGTATTTATGCAACTAGTATCCCAAATAAACATATTTTAAGCACTTGTGGGAGATTTTGATTAGACTCTCCCATGGTTTTTATTTTGCTCATTAGGAGACCCCTAGGGCAGCTTTGAAGTTTGCGGATCTGATGCTCTAGGAGAGAACGTTTAATCCATTACTCCCATGCTTTCCCCTTGATATAAATCCTGCCTTCTGCAGCTACTATTATCTGGTCAGGGCGAAAAAACAAGGGCAGATTACCCTGTGAAGCTACTAACAACTGCTGGGCAGGGGGAGTGATTTGCATCTGAGAAAGGGTTAAATACTCTTCTGCATAGTAAAGGTAAAGGGACCCCTGACCATTAGGTCCAGTTGTGGCCGACTCTGGGGTTGCAGCGCTCATCTCGCTTTATTGGCCAAGGGAGCCGGCGTACAGCTTCTGGGTCATGTGGCCAGCAGGACTAAGCCGCTTCTAGCGAAGCAGAGCAGCGCACGGAAACGCCGTTTACCTTCCCGCTGGTACTACATCCTAAAACTACTTGTGGCTGCTAATGAACAAAAATGAAATAAAAATGTGGGGAATCTTAAATCTGGATCTTTCATATCACGTCTGGCTTGGCCTGAAGAATAAAGCAAGCAAATTTTGCTGGCGATTTGCCACTCTTTGAGAATTGGATTTCTGATATATATGAAGCTGGCTGTGGGAATAAAAAAATTGTTGATTTTTATGAGTTTTGAATCAAGCATTTGATGAGCATATATGTCCAGTAAACACAAAAATAAGGAAAGCCTGATTAATTTAGATGTTTATTGGCAAAGTGTCTGTATCTGTTTATTGGTAGAATATTTGGCTAGGAGAAATCTGAATGTCTCCTGTTTTCATCACACAGAATCAATTATAAGGAATCATTTTTTATTTATTTTTAATAATCTACGACTAGTAGCTCTCTAGTCTTTTTTCTTAAGACCATCAAGGCTGATGCCATTGTCTTTCAACTGGAAATGCGTAGAACTTCAGCTATTTGAAATTAAAATGAAATTCTCTTGCCTAATTTATGAATCAAAAGAACGTATGTGTTTTATGTAGATTTTGGGTTAGGCTGGAGAGTTAACATAATGGGAGTGGTCTTGCAGGTTTTCTTTTCTCTGGCAGCAAACTTGAATAGGCACAAAAACCTTGTTTATGTTTCCTGACATCTGGGTTTTTATCATTCAGTTAAAAATATTTGGCGGTCTTACTTACCGTATTTTTCGCTCTATAACACGCACCCAACCATAACACGCACGTAGTTTTTAGAGGAGGAAAATCCGTAGGCATGCCACCCATAGGCATTCCCTCCATAACACGCACAGACATTTCCCCTTACTTTCTAGGAGGAAAAAAGTGAGTGTTATGGTGCAAAAAATACGGTAAATACTGTATGCCCTTTTATAATGAAAGAAGTATATGCTTGAATGCTGAAGTAACTTTGTCTCCACATTTTGAGATGAATTGGTAGGAATCTGTAAAACCAATGAAGGCAAAGAGACATTCAGTTCCAGCTCTCTCTAGTTTCCCTGTTCTCTTCTTCACTTTTGGTTTGGGAAGGGGACCCAGAGGCTAGTTTGGGTTGTGTCGCTTCTGCAATTATAACTATGCTGGCTTCAGTGGGAGTAACATCAAACAATAGTCTTGATGATGGTTCAGTTAATTCACTTTCAGAAGTTCAATAATTCATCTTCGAAGTGTCAGCAGCTGGCTCTTGTTAATGGTAAGCCTTTCATTTCTGTTAAATCAATTGTGAATAATAGAAGCTTTCAGAGAAAAAATGATGAAGTAAGCATTGATTTCCAAATTGGGTGTCTGATCTGGAACATTAATAAAACACAGGGCAGGCAGACAACAAGTACCTAATACACTCTGATCACCTAAGCAGTAATCAAAGAAAAATCAATGATTTTTGTGTATGGTGCTAGGTCTTCTAACACTTCACCTTCTTCCATTCATCATTGTGTCTATAGCATCAATTTTATAATTGTTCTGACTTGTTTTTTATTATATATAAAAAAGGTTTTATAGTTTGCATCATAGCAAGCCATTTATCACAATGGATCTGGCAAATCCTGGTCATTCCGCCTCATAACTCTACTGGAAAACTCCATTTTTTGTTTATATGCATTAGGGCTCTCCATAAAGGCCTTAATTGGTATCAAAATGCTTCCAAGTGAAATTAAATGCTCTTTAAAATATCCTTAATGGATTTTACGTCTTTTTGAATTGCCAGCCTCCGGGTACCATTTTGTATGTTCTATGTATATGTTTCTATTACCCTCTTCCCCCAGGCTTTAAGGAGATTTTGAATTGCTCAAGGTATCCGTAATGTATGTATGATGCGATTATAAATATCTGTAACCTTTGAAGTGCAGGTGTAGTTGAGAATTGTTTCAAAAGGCTGTAGGAAAGCATAGTTGCTATGAAATGTAGAAACTGGGCAATGCAGAAAATTAGCAGGAGGACCCCACATCCACTGGGCTGCAAAACCGATGTGGGCCAAGACTGATCTCAAAAAAGTACACCACACTTTGTTCACATTGCACAAAAGACCCACAAGCACTTCATTACAGGGTCCAGAAAACTGGGGGGGGGGGGGGAGAGAAGGCCCCCTCTTCCAATCTCCCAGCCATTCCTTGCAGATTTCAATCTGTAGTCAAGGATTTAAAAAATAGTGTGCAAACATTTTTCATGGGGCAAGCATGTAGGAAGTGCTCAGCATAATTTCCGCAGGCCAGAAACTGCCAGTACGCCTTTTAACTTTTGAGCTAGAGCTGTTGCTTTTGCCACACAATCCTTTTGTGTTTCTTGCATAGTCCTATTGCCCCCTCCCCCAGCACATCTCGTCTTCCTTCTGAGGGTAAGATGGAAAACCCCACTTGCTTTAGCCAGCAGAGGAGTGACTTGTGATAACATGTGGATTTTTTAAAAAAAAAAAGATAGAAGAACATGACTTGACGCTTAAAGCTTTGGTCTTTCTAATCAACATTGCAAAAAACAGAAGCGGAAAACGTGTGGATCTCTGTATGTTATTGGATTCTAGGTCCCCTAAACCCCAGTCAACATGGCCAGTAGTTAGAGGTGAGTCCAACAACCAGGGTATCTGAAGGAACATCTCTCCCCACACCCAGGGGCATAGGAAGGGGGGTGCGGCCTGGCCCGGGTGTCACCCTTGAGAGGGCTGACAAAATGGCACACTGCGGGGCCTGTCTTGCAGCGTGCCCGAGCCACGTGTCTCTCCTGGGAGTGATGCGGTGGCTCGGGACCCTGCGCTGCCTGAAACAGCAGTGTAGGGCTTGCGTCCGCCAGGCAGACTCCGTGGGCAGCTCACAGCGCCGCCGCCCCGGGCGGATCGCCGTGGCACCCCTGTGTGTTGTTCGCCATGGCACACCTGTGCGCGGATCACCCCGCCCCCGTGGGTGGATCGCCCCACCCCTGCCGCTCCGGGTACCAGAGTACCTAGCTACGCCACTGCCTGCACCCCAAGTCCTACCCAGATTCTGAGGTCAACTGTGGAGGCTCTTCAGAGTGCTATCATTGGCAGAGTTCCAGAACTCAAAGGCTTCCAGAGGTTGCTCCTACCCAGTATATTTTCTGGCACCAACAGAATGCCTTGCTCTTTCAGCAGGCATTTGGATAACAGTATGCTCAGACGGAATGATTTGAAAGTTTGTGTTTGAAATTGTCTTTGTGGTATAAAAGGTGGTGTAAAATTTAAAAGTGAAATGAAATGAAAAGAAACGAAATGAAATGAAAAAGCGGCCGGCCCAAGTGGGACCCCCTGGCCAGCTTAGCCGTCGGAACCCGGGGCAAGTGTACTAGGTTGTCCCCCTCCCTGCATGGGCCTGTTGTGGTGGGATATAAACAGTAGTGGACAGTGGGGTGGGGCGGTGATGCTCACCTGAGCTCATGATGGTTGAGTCGCTGCAACTTACAGGCAAGCAGAGGGAGAGTGGCAAGGTGGTGGGGAGGTGGGCACAGTGCAAACATGGTGACAACCCTACCAAGCCATCCACTATTGGATGTAAGTAGAATGAATGAATGAATAAAAATCTGGAAGGTTGTGAGCTGTCTGCCCTCACTGCATATAGTATTCAGTTTTGAAGATTCTGAGCTTTAATTGGCGAGCGCATGGTTTCGCCAAACCAAACAATTCTGCTGTTGTTTTAATATAAATCCTCAAGCGGGTATTTATAAATGCATTTTACATCCATTAAGAAAGTTAAATGTTAGCACACAGTTACTTTAGGAACTACAAAGGAGACTCTGAAGGGCATAACTGCTTGTTATATATGCAGTGCAATACTACTGGAAGCGTTGTAGCACAGTTACTATTAGACTGAAATATGGCTGAGTTTGGGGATTCTGCTGAAGTTTTCGTTTTGGAAAAGAAATAGTTTTCATAGAAATATCAAAGAATAAAGCCATATGCTGGGTAAAAAGTGGAAGCGTTTTATTTATCAGCGTGTGCAGTTTTTGCAGAAGTATTCAAAGTATATTACAGACATCTGCTAGCAACCCGCACTAACAATAAATTCAAGAGTAAGGCAACATTCGTGGAGGATAATAAAAGATGGAAATAAAGTTTTATCTTTGGAATAAGCTGATTTCACCTTCCATCCCAATCTTAACCTTCCAGAGCTTCTCCACATAACCTTAAAGAAGAAATGTGCTGAGAATAACGTGTATTTATGAGCAATCAGGCTGATTTGTTGGAACGTGGTCCTTTTTTTGGCAGGAGGGAAGGAACCTAGGATGTTGGAAGCTTTTGCTGTAGATTCTGGATGTAGTGTTTAATTTCATGCCTTGAGTCCTTTATTTACTCTTGAAGTTTCATTTTTCTGTAGCCTGACTCTTTCTCCTGGAGAAACGTCTCATCTTCATTAGAGCAGAGGGCAAACGGGCAAGTTCATAATTGCCTTTCCTAAACTCTTCAGTTTTTTGTTTGGTATCCATCAACTTGGGTGTCCTAGTGCAGAATTCACGGACAAAGCGGGTGTTGTTTTATTTTCATTTTTGCAGCGAATTTCCATGCTCCCTTTCCGCACCAAAGTCCTGACTTAAAATCGGTTGGACGGAAAAACTCTTCACTATTTAGCATAGTTGGCGACGAGTAAGGTTGTTTCTTAATAGTATATATAGTTTATACTGGATGAAATTAATCAAAGCATAGGCATTTCTGGACTTGAGAGGCTGCTTGGCATTGTGTGTGCTGACCACTTCTTCCAGCGGGCTTGATTATGCCATGATAGGGACAGGCTTTGCTGACGTTGGGTGTTGGGAGCTTTCCCCCCCCCCCCACAGTTAATCCTAGACAATTTCTAGAGCAGGGGTGGCTAACGTTTTTTTTCTACATTCCATCTTGGCCAACACACCAAGGGCCACATGCAAGTATTTGGTGTAGTCACCACATACTCTTGCTTGTATAGGCATAGAGCACACCAACATGCAAAGACCACACCCCTCTTCCTCAGCTGATCCAATCAAATCAACTGGACAAGGCTTATCACTCTCTCCACTCATTGTATGATCAATCTGATGACTTTGGGTTATAAGTCTTGTAAGATGGTAATTCCCAAACATTTAGAAAATGTGGTTATAGTTATACTTGACTTTCCCTATGTAGACTAGATTTCTGTTCATCTTGACCAGGGGTCAGCAAACATTTTCAGCAGGGGGCCGGTCCACTGTCCCTTAGACCTTGTGGGGGGCCGGACTATTTTTTTGGGGGGGGGGGGGAATGAACGAATTCCTATGCTCCACAAATAACCGAGAGATGCATTTTAAATAAAAGCACACATTCTACTCATGTAAAAGGATTTAGAAGGCGATTGGGCCAGATCCGGCCCCCAGGCCTTAGTTTGCCTACCCATGATCGTGACAATACCTTTCAGCTAAAAATGGCTGATTCTTTATAAATGTACTGACATCTTTTATTGATAAGCAGATTACGCACAAGACAGATTTTACCAAAACATTAGGTATCCCCAGCAAAAAAAGAAAGAAAGGAAAGAAATTAAATCCAAGTCATTTACATTTCTATCTCACAATGGGCCCAGGTAGCTACAGAGTATGAAACGTATAAAGTTGTTGTTTGTTTGGTTTATTTGATAAATTGAAAATTTCCCAGAAGGTGACAAACAACTATATGAAGTTAAACAAACTTCTAAGAATGATATATAAAACATTCCAGTGAAATGCAAAAAATACGCAAAAATACTCATTGGTAAAACGTGAAAAAACTGGCAACTGTCAAGATGACCAAAATATAGCCAAGTAGAAAGAAAGTCACTAAGGTCTGCTTCCAATAACAACACCTAAAACCTCTGAGAAAAGGTATGTCTCCAGGTGTTTCCTGAAAGCTGCAGGGTTGTGACTTGATAGATCTTGGTGGGCAATGAATGCCAGAATTTTGGAGCTTCTGCAGCAAAGGTCTTCATTGCTGACCTCAGAGTGTGGGCAGGTTGATATAGGTGTGGAGAACTGACCCACGACATTTAAAATTATAGTGGTTGCAACCAACATTGCTTGACTGTGTGGCACCCAGAGTATTCATGCAGCTGCATTCTGGCCCTGCTGGATTTCTTATGGATTTTTAGAAGCGGTGTGCGAATTTCCCCTATTTCTTTAAATACATCAATCCTTGTAGTTCCATCTCTTAATAGCTTTATTAAATCTCGGGGAAAGCAATAGCCAACCCAATATCCTCTTAGTAACAGTGCGGATTTCCTTCTTTAATTGTTTGATGAAATTAGTGTCACTATGGAGCAATAAAGTTGGATAGTCAGTTGAAGTGGAATTTGATTAGCTTGGTTTTTTGCAGCTTGCAAACGCAAGCTCCTGATAAATGTTTAACTAGCGGTCAAAAGTTCTGTCTGGAGGCTGTTCTATTAAGCCCAGATCCATATATATTCCAGCCCCCCCCCCTTCTTCACACACTTACCTGCCTAACCACAAAATCAGTATGGTAGTCTGCACTTTATTAATTTGGCTGCAGGCAACTATTGCAAACAAGGCGCTATCATTTTCTGTTGCTCAGCATGTGCAAACAAAGCGTTATCTCCTTGTCAGTCAGCAGGGAGCAAATAGGAGTATTTCTATAAGTATGAAACAGTTACAGAAGCATCAGCTACTGCAGGGGTAACTAACACGGTGCCTTCCATATATTATTGAATTCAAAGTCCTATGTCCCAGCCAGCAAGGTCCAGAATGATGGAAGCACTATGCTGAAGGAGACCCTGTTGCCTACCCAGCAGCACTACTAAATTATCATCTATTTACTGAATTGTTAAAACTCCTTTTCGTGCACAAATTTGACTGAAGTTTGTAGGCATCAGGTTTTTAAAATAAATTTTAATTAATTGTCTCCGTGTGTAGAATATATATATAATGCAGGACGGTCCAACATGTGGCCTGAGGACCACGTGTGGCCCTCAAGGCCTTTCTCAGTGGCCCTCATCCACATTTGACCCCCTCCCCTGCAGGCCTTGCATTGCCTTCCCAAAGCTGGGGGGGGGGGGGAGCTATGGGAAGGAGGCATGAGGATCCAACAGGGTCCTAGAGTCCTCCTTTCTCCTTTCCAGAGCCTAGTTAGCACTTTCCCAGCTTTGAGAAGGAGATAGGTGGGCTGTAGGACCCTGCCGCAGCCTTGTACCTCCGTCCCAAAGCCCAGCGCCACACTTAATCCGGCTTTGGGAAGGCAGCACAATGGTTGTGGGGGGCATCACATTTTGGCCTTGCTCTTTCCCTGCCCCCCCCCCCCGGCATGACAAGGTTGTGTGCGGTCCATGTCTAAGAGCTCTTGCGATGCACTTGGTATGAAAACTTGGACCGCTCTGATATAGAATATTCAGTTCTACAAGGATGAGACCTTTAGGTAAACACCAGTAATATTTCTGGTGCTATTGATTTTCATACGTGACTTGTAAGAGTGTAAACAGCATCCTATGGAATTTGATTGTAAATGGACAAACTGGTAGCGTTCCTGGTTTTCTTAGCTTTTAATATGCAGTCTTATGACTTCATTTAAGGAATCGTTTGAAGGATTAGTAAATTAAGGTACTACTTTGTGTATTAGATTTTCCAGCAGTTCTTAATGTATCAGGCAGGAGGGAGCGGGCTGATTACAAAGGGGAAAGCTCTTATTTAAAGATTAAGAACCCTGTAACAAGCCGTGAAACAAATGGGCAGGTAGAAAAGAAGGTTAAAGCTAGTGAGATGTGTTGCTTATTTATTTATTACCACATTTTTATACTGTTTCCGGCAGCAGCCTCGGGGTCGTGTTCAAAGTCAAGAGTACATCAATAACAATACTGCATTAATAATAAAAAGGTAAAGGGTAAAGGGACCCCTGACAATTAAGTCCAGTCGCAAATGACTCTGGGGTTGCGGCGCTCATCTCGCTTTACTGTCCAAGGGAGCCAACGTTTGTCTGCAAACAGTTTTTCCGGGTCATGTGGCCAGCATGACTAAGCCGCTTCTGGCGAGCCAGAGCAGCGCATGGAAACGCCGTTTACCTTCCCGCCAGAGCGGTACCTATTTATCTACTTGCACTTTGACGTGCTTTCGAACTGCTAGGTTGGCAGGAGCTGGGACTGAACAACAGGAGCTCACCCCGTCGTGGGGATTCGAACCACCGACCTTTCAATTGGCAAGCCCAAGCGGCAGAGTGGTTTAACCCACAGTGCCACCCGCGTCCCTGCATTAATAAATAATAATAATAATAATAATAATAATAATAATAACAATAATAATAAAAAAAAATGATCCAATATAAAACAAAGATAGCTGAAGGCAGGCTGGAAGAAATTAGTATCTCGTTTTGGAAATGAGCAGTAGCAAAGGCAATAGATACATCAGTTGCACTTAGTTAGGTATCTGGGTTTTAAAAAGCTCCCTAACAAATAATTTGCTTAGTGACATCTTCTTTAGCACCCATCACTTTGGGTAAAACTGAATTTGAAAGGGCTTTGTCTTCACAACACCTTATTATAAGTGTCTTTGTCTTACAGGGCTAGGTCAAGCCACACATCATAGATAGAGTAAAGAAATCAGCATTGCCCAGTGACTTGGAAGGTGCGAAACCTCCTGTGGGCTAGTATGCAGAGTCTTTGCCAAGGAATTTCTGTAAGGAGACAGCTTGATGAGTCTGTTTTCGCCTGGCAATTGCTTAGGTTAGGACACAGGGGACTCTGATTAATGACCATCTTCCCCCCCTTCCTTTCTTTTTTTTTTAAGGAGGCACATGTGTCCTAAATGAAAGAAAGATTAAAGTAATTTATTATGAATTATTCAGATATATATCAGTTCTGCCATTCTGAAAGAGTGAAGTGTAATAAATCTGCCTTATAAGAATAAGAGCTCTCAAATATAAGAACGCTAAATAATATCATAAAAACTGCTTACCACCCTCGTTTTGATTTGGAGGTTTTTTTGTTTTCACCCTGACTGTAGCTTTGGCAGTCTTAATTAAATGGCAAACTGGAAATACTTTTTAATCCAAATAAGGATTTTTTCTCCTGAAACCTTGTGCCGTTAGTGCATTTACGGTGCAGGGCATTTTTTAGCAGTGTAAGCTGTTTCCCCCCTCCCCCCCTGCCCAGTCAGACAGCAACCATAATAAATTGAAATAAAATTCACTATTGATTAATGTTCCATATGTCACGTACAGGGCAAGTCTCATCTATTAAGTGCAGTTTGCCAAGGCAGCAATATTAGTAGCATTTGAATGTTTTTCTTATTAAGGAGAAAAATGGTCAGCAGCATCACTACAGTGTCTGCACCAAAGGCCATGCTAAATGCAAACTGCCTGCAGCACATTTGAAATCCTCACTCTTCTCAGGAAGGGGGATACAATAAAAGAGGCAAAATTATCCATTTTCTGAATTAGAATAACCCATTGTAGCTTGCAGGATGAAAGGGAGAAACTGATTACAACATAATGGAATGTACCGTATTAATCTCTTTGAAATATGACCTCACTCGGCCTTTTCCATTTTACAATTGATTCTCTCACTCCCTTAATGAACTTATGTGTTCATGAGTCTTTCTTGGAAGTATGCACATGAAGTATTACGATAGCGAAGAAAAGAAGAAGAAGAAGAAGAGGAGGAGGAGGAGGAAATCAGCCCAGAAGCTGTGAAGAGACTGTATCGTTTATACAGTACTGCTATAGAGAATGTTAATGTGGCAGCCCTGTTTTTGGGTTCGGCTGCAATGCCATGAAAACTTTTATTGCACGTGATATAGCTTCTATTCAGATATCTGAAGGTAACAATTATAAGTGAGATTTACAAAAAATGTTCATTGCTAAACATACCAGGGAAGGGGGAAAATGGCTGGGCAAAAGTGTTTGCAGACTGGATATATGTGTAACATCTAACCTCTCAGCATACTTAAAAGTGCTAAAAAATGGAAATTAGAAAAAAAGAATGGTTGCAAAAGATACTTTCAGTATTTAACCCAAAAAGATGGGCTGTGTATTCCTGGTTTAAATATTTTACTGTAGCCCTTTATAGGTAAGGTAAAGGTAAAGGACCCCTGGACGGTTCAGTCCAGTCAAAGGCGGCTATGGGGTTGCGGCGCTCATCTCGCTTTCAGGCCAAGGGAGCCGGTGTTTGTCCACAGAGCTGCCATTTGTCCACAGACAGCTTTCCGGGTCATGTGGCCAGCATGACTAAACCACTTCTGGTGCAATGGAACACCATGATGGAAACCAGAGCGCATGGAAACGCCGTTTACCTTCCTGCCACAGTGGTACCTACTTCTCTACTTGCATTGGTGTGCTTTTCGAACTGCTAGGTTGGCAGGAGCTAGGACAGAGCAACGGGAGCTCACCCTGTTGCGGTGATTCGAACCGCCAACCTTCTGATCAGCAAGCCCAAGAGGTTCAGTGGTTTAGACCACAGCACCACCTGCATCCCCACTGTAGCCCTTTATAACCTCATGTTAAATGGCACAGTCTAGACTAGAGCAGTGCAAGGGAACCTTTTG